TGAATTTATGTGTACTATTTATGAGAAGGGTCTTCTGGCTTCCACCTCTAAACTTTTTGGTGAAGGTAACATAGATTAGATCTTGTAGAAAGATAATAATCCAAAGCATCAATCAAAAATCGTGAAAAAATGGAAGGAAGAAAATGGCATTGAGGTATTTTCTTAGCCATTAATGTCTTCAGATCAAAATCCTATAGAAAATGTTTAGAGGTTAATAAAAATTAATATACAAAAAAAAATTCGATCAATTAGAGGATTAAAGGGGGAACTTACAAAAGAATGGAACTGATTATCACCTGTACTTGCCGCGAATTTGGTAGTTAGTATGAAAAGACGTATAGTTGCACTTATAGAATCAGATGGTGACTACACAATGTATTAATTTTAGTTAGTTGGTTATGTGTTTTTTAAATAAAAAAAATAATTTTGAATTTACTTACTTGTAGCTAAAGTTAGAGGCGATCGAATACTTATGACCACTACTGTATATTCAGTTCTCATTTTTGTCTTTTATATATCTTCAAAATTCTGAAAAATCAAGCTAATTCTAATGATAAAATCTGCGTTATTAATATACAGGATAACTTAAAGAATCAATCTAATATAAATAGCGGAGATGACACCAATATGTAAGAAAGTAAATCTCAATCAAAAAAAAATTCATCAAAAAGACGGAACTCTTTAAGGATCACTTGTAAACAAGAAAAATTCTAGGCTTTGTTGTAAGAATTATTTACGCCTGCTAAGGGAGAGAAAGTTGAAATGTTGATAAAGAGGAGGATGCTGATGGATTTGTATCACAAAGCTTAGCCCAATTATATCAAAAGGTAACTCATGCAGGATTACGTATTACAAAGGCAAATCAAGATGAAATTTGTGTTGGTATAAATATACTGAAGGATTTGAAAATAGGGTCAGGATATTAGATCTCAAGATACATCAGTTACCGATCCAACAGCTAGGAGTTAAGCATACTGTAAAGTTCTCAACATCTTTCAGGAATTACAAAAGCAAATTTGTATAAGAAAATCCAGAAAGCAAGAAATATATACAAGGTGTTTGTGAGGATAGGAATAAACAAGAGCAAGCGGGTGAAATCATGTAGTGCCGATGCTATTTCAAGCCTATCTAGTATCCAGATTCAAAGCATTATAGACCGTTTCTCTATAACATGAATGTAATTATCTATCACGTGATTCCGTGAAGATTCTTTACGCTGTCATGTGACTACCGCATGTGTTTTTTGGTTAGCATTCAACGTTTTATTAATAAAATTTGCCCATATCGGGCTTTATCTTAATTTTAACAGTATATCATACACGTGGATAATAAAAACCAAGTTTCCAGTATACGAATAATTGTAGCACAAATCTAAATCACGGAGTGATCTGCCAATCAGAAATGAATTAGTTGTAGAAATATACCGAGAGCAAAGAAATAACTTGATGCTGGGATCTGTATATTCCCTCCCACTTTGATAGCATCTTATGTTTCGTTACTAACCACTTTTTTTATCGAAAATTATTGAAGTTTCGCAAAAAAAAATCATTATTTGTGTGCCAATTTTTTCATACATAAATGTATTCATTTTATTATACAGTTTATTGCATTACACATACAGTATATCTATATAATATTACACTATTTTATTTTTGCCTGTTATATCAGATATGAAATATAAAGAGAAAAAAATCTTATTTTTTTTTGATTAATTTGTAAAAGAACTTATTTTTTTCTTTTTTTTAAAAAAAAAATATGCAATGGAATTCGCGACACATTATTTTGCTTGATTCATTAAAACAGCCTGCTGAACTTCGTACAGATCTATCGCAACAACAGCATTATACATTGCTGGAGGAGGACGAGCTAAAGGTGTATATCCAATTGCAGGAATTGGAGGATCATAAAATATGTTGGCAACGGGGATATTAATGATGAAGTTTGGGTTGTTCACAGTATTACAAACATTTGTGCCAAGAGGAAATTGATTGCCGTTTTTATCCACAGTCCCAAAATGCCACTATCATATAAAGAACCAGACTTTGAGCATCAGAGTAGGAAATTTCTTTCTCAACATTCAATCTTACCTTCTGCCTTGCGACTCCTTGTCGCCAAAGCGTGGCCTATATTTAACAATTTAAATACAAAGTAATATAATAATTAGAATTATTAGACCATGAGACATACCTTCATAGCCCGCTCTCTGCGTCCTGTTGTTGCATTGCGTATAGCCAACGCATCATAGAGTTTAATACCTAGTACAGATCGTACATACGATTGTTGTTTCCAAAGCCTACACTTGTCCTTCAAGTCAGAGAAACTTTGACTAACAGCTACTTCAAGAATTATTCTCGCATAAGGGTTTCCCTATATCAACCATATAAGTATTAGTATTTAGGGTATCACGAAATACATGACAAATCAAAGTACCCTTCTATCGCTGGGCGGAGGACCAGGATGCGGGACGGGAGGGTCTGGAACGTAAGTGGGATGAGGACGAACAGCAAGATCCGGTGCTTTGCGAGATCCATCTGGCGCGTCATGAACTTTGGAAATGATGATAAATATTAGAACACCATAAGAGGTGAGAGATTAAGTAAACTAGGAAGAATTTCCCTTACGTGGCTGTCCAAGAATTTGTATATGAGCATTACGACCCATGCCATAGGCTCTGAAGCAATTTCCAATCTCCTCAACAACAGCTTCATGTTCACTCGAACACATTTCAACAATATATATGGTACCCTTTTTATAATCAAGTTTGTATCCGCTTATCTCTTTGCTTTCGATGAAAGAATTGTATTGTTGCAGAGATATGTTTGAGGCAATCGGAAAAGGAAGACTGTAATTCACACGAGTCAACACTGGGAGAACTTCAATACAAACTAGTACAATGCCTATTCACCTGCTTTCGTCTATCTGCTCCTTTGGTAACCGAAGCTTCTCTGACGAAAACGCCTTCTGAAGGACTACTCTAAGTTTATTATGAGGCATTTTTATGGTAGGAAGAACAATTAATTATTAACTTTAATTTGATTGATGAGAGAGATTAATCGAATAATAACGGTGGCTTAGCTATCATGTCAATAGGATCAAGGAAGGTGAAATCTGATGCCATACAGAACACGTGATTTGAATTACTGTTTTTTTAACCGGAGGGGCGTGACACAGGTGACGATTTGTGTATGTCTCGAGGCGTGAAAATTACAATCCTCTCTATACGTCACCCTCTCTAAATGTACATACTATATATTTCTCTCTAATTGCACGATCCATAATAAATACATTCCCTCTTTAATTGCACGTTTTTTTTTAAAAATTTTCGCTAAGGTCCCAAAGCGGTGCATATAGAGAGAAACTGTAATACCGCTTTATTGACATGATGTTATTCAACATTTTATTAATATTTTATTTAATCGTATTTTAATATAGTTTTACGATTTTCATCGTTCACTTAACGGAGGAAGCATAGCGGATTGTTTTGGAATAACAAGGGATCCTTCATCATCGAATTACATGATGGTAGTGACTTATATTCATATATAGAAGAAAGGCACGGAAATCTTGATTGGAAGGATATTATCACAACTCTTTGGGGACTATCTACAGAAATCATTCGTGTTCAACAAATCGGATCATGTTATGGAAATCTTCACGGAGGTAATGTGCTGGTTAAAGATGGAAATATACGTATCACCGATATTGAATTATTTTTTCAAGTTGGTAAAAGGAACGAATTATATAAAATTCTTCCATATATGGCCCCTGAAATTCTAAACGGAGAACCATTAACAGATTCTACGGACATTTATAGTTCTGGAATCATCATGTAGATACTTTCTGCAGGCATAGTACCATGGAGTAATATTCCACATGACCTTAAACTAGTGAGTGAAATATGTCTTGGTCATCGTCCTAAAATTATTGATGGAATTCCCAATATTTATACACAATTAATGAAACGATGTTGGGATTCCAATCCCTTGAATCGTCCAACCGCATTCGAATTACATTTTATATTAGAAAGTTGGGTAACCGATCTTAACGATTCTAATATGTCAGAAAATGAAACCTTGGATTTGGAAAGAAATAAACTTCATCGACAAGGATTTTACCATAAAGATATTTGTACAAGCAAGCTTGTTGATTTCCCTCAATTAATTACTCCTAATAATTAGACTTTTAATAAATTAGAAAAATAGATATTTTAGAAATATAGATTGTATATATTTAGAGATATAAATTATATAGAAAAATACAAATTTACATTTCGAAGATATAAATTGGATATAGATTGGCATTTCAAAGATATAGGTTGACAAGATACAAATTGGCAAAAAATATAATCGAATATAATTGGAAATTTTATATGATATAAATAAATATTTAAAAAAGATTCAAATATTGCAACGCCTGTCATAAGTGATTTAATTTATAAAACAAAAAATAACGATAAAATATAAAAAAAATAAATAATCATGAAGACAATAAATTAATTATTAATTTATTTATTATTTATTTATATTTACTTATAATGTTTATAGATGAAATTTAAAGAAAAAAAATTTTGTGATGAAGAAAATATAGGAATCTTCAAATTTTTATTAAAAAATAAACTGAAATAATTATTAAACTATAAAAAATCAATATATTCATACTTCTAAAATTTAACAGAAACAATATAGTGAATAAATAGATATTTTAAAAAAAATTCTAGATTACTATAATTAATATTATAATTAAAATAGTATTAAAATTTATATTATATTTATAATAATAAAAGAATAAATTGTGAAATTATTTAAGTATTTATAAGAAAATTTGCTAATAATTTCTTTTTTGTATATCTACTATTCTTCTCTTTCTCTTAATATTTTTTTCATCATCTTTATTATTATTATCATTATCAGCTATTTTAATATTTTTAAAAGATAACAAATCTCTATTATCTATAAAGAAGTTATATAAAATATAACCAATATAAATTATTTTAATAATTCTTTTTAAATATGTATAATAAATCTCCTTTAACAAAATTCTTTATTATTTTTTAATTATTTAAATATTCATTTAATAACTATTTTTATTGAAGAAAAATTTTTATTAAACTTTAGTTCTTGATGAGTTAATATAATTAAAAAATATCTTTATTAAATATATTTTAAGAGGATATAAAATTACAAATAATACACTCTCCTACAATAAATTATCAGATTTTATAAATTTTACTTAGTAATATATAGTAAAATTGAAGATTTTCAGATTGCATAAAAGTTTATGAATTTTTAATAAATTTCATTCTAAATTTTTTTATTTAATAAATAATCAATTATAATTTTAATAATCTACCATATATTCCTGAAAATAAGCATCCTGTGATACGCTTCTTTTATAGTAATTTATTTATTTGTCACATGAAATTTATTATATTATTTGTCACATATATATTAATAAATTCATATATATCATGTGATGCTTATTTTCAGGACTATACGGTAATTTAAAAATATTCTATTTATAAAATACTGAAAAAATACTCATTTATAAAGTAATAAATAACACACATTTATATATAAAAATACAAAAAAATATATAAAAAAATTGTTATACTTTAATATGAGAAAATTTTTCATATTTTAAAAAATTTTTTTTTTTATTTAATATTTAAAAACTATAATTGATCAACTATCAAATAAAAAAAAATCAGATAACTTTTATTAAAACTTATAAACTTTTATGCAATTTAAAGATCTTCAATTTTACTATATATTATTAAGTAAAATTTATAAAACTGGTAATTTATTGTAAGGTAGTATATATGTATTATCTAGAATCTATTAATTTAAAGAAATTTTATGATAAAATGAATAATATAATATATAGGTATCATAAATACATTTTTTATTAAAAATTATTAATAAAAAATATTTTAATAAATATTCTTAAAATTAACTATTTTAAGAAAATTAATAAATGAAAGCTTTTATGTTTTATAAAACATGCTTTATAATTAGAGGAAAAAAAATTAGTATATATAATTTATTTATAATATTATTATATTAGGTAATTTACAATTTTTTAAACCAGTTTTATCATATTCTAATCCTTGTATTACTATTATTACTTAAGCTCTTTATGATTATACAATTTGATCTTTTCAAATCTAATAATGCTTATAAGAATTAATTTGTAAAATTACATACTAAATCTTAATTTACTCTAAGTATTTATTCTAATATTTATATACCTACTCTATTTGCAAGTTATTATAATATAATAGCAATTTATTTTTATATAGTTATTATATTAAAAGTATTTGAGAAAAATGTAAAATAAATCTTCAATTATATAATAATAAAATTAAATATAATAAGAGTAATACAAAATATCATTAAAATGAATTTTGAAAATGACTTACATAAAGTTATATGAGTACAATCAGTAGAAAAGAAGGAAATCTACTTTTTAGTTAAAATTTTTTTATTGATTCACTTTGCTGATCATGATTATATAAATAAAACTAGCTTAATAATTAAAATTACTCAAAATTTGTAGTTTTCTTTTTTTCTATTGATCATCCCTCATATATTTAACTTGTATGATTATGCATAATTATAAAATTTTATTATATATAATAAATAAGTAATTTAAATTAAAAATATATAGAATAATTTTGACTTAAAACTTAATTTAATTCAATTCATTAAGAACTTTAATTATACCCTTCTTCATTAGTCAAATATAAGAAAGCTTTTATCTAAATTCTTTAATTTAAGTCGTTATTGATGTTAAGCTTTTTATATTAAATAAAGAAAAAATAAATAGAATGGTTGAATTAGTCAAATAGGTATTAAAAGTTAGAAGATATTATATATTATTATTTTTATTTAGGTTTTATGATATTTTTATTTGTTATAATTAAGGTTATTAAGTAAAACCTAAATTATTTAAATGATAAAATGTAAAATTTAGCAAAATTATATTAAAACTTTATTAAAAATCTGCAAAACTATATTAAAATCTTAATTAAAATTAGTAAAATAAAGTTTAGACATTTTACTAAATCTAAAATGAGTTTAGATAAGTAATCTTAACTATAATAGTTTTAAAATTAAAGAAAAATAATGAATTATTGAGATTGCTAATAATAATTTTGAAAATTCATAATGCAAAAAGAATAAAGTTCTTGAATAATTTCTTTTTATACTTTATTAATAATAAATTTTAGCAAATTAGTATAGCTTTTTAAAAAAAATGATTTAAACCTACATATTTTATTAATTAAAATGATAAATCATTTGATTTATAAAATCTACTTTTAAATAATTAAAATTTCATTTTTAATCCAAATTAGATTGAGAATATCTTAATTAAAATTTTATTTTATTGATTTAGATACTAAATAATGTATAATCTATTTAATTTTAACTTTTATTTTTACCAAAAATTTTTTATATCTCTAATTCTTTGCCTTAAAATTTTACTATTTAAAATTATTTAAAATATAATCTGAATCACCATTTTAAATATTAAAATTCTGCTTTTATTAACTATATAACAGATTTTATTTTTAAATAGTTTAAGCTTTTGTTTTTAATATATTATTTTAGATGATTTAGGGCATTTCTCTCAATATAATTGGCTATTGATTAAGATGATTTTTGATACCAAGATCAATTTAAATAAAGGATTGCAATCAATCCTTCTCTTCATTTTAAATTTACGTGAACAAAACTAATAAAGTGTAAATATTTAGAACACCAATGGAGATGAAGAGTTTGAATGATCTTTATTTAATACTCTATCAATGATAAATTTTAGCCAATCAACGTAACTCTGGAAAAAAAAGCTGGTTTGGCCTCCATTTTTATTCATCGGATGGTGACCGCATCTAACCAATTAAAACTTCATTCTGATCCATTGCTTGAGAACGCCTTTAATATATTAATCATTAAATGGTGGTTTTTAAACTAATAATGAAGACTAGTTAAAGATGAATAATAAAATTATTTTTATTAAAATAAATTTTTAATAGTTATTTATAAATTTTAAACCTTTTTAAAAATTCTTTCATTTAAAGGTTAATATTTTCATTTTTATAATTACTTCTATTAAAGTATAGTGCATTACTATGCATGTATTAAATAATAACGTGCCTGTCGAGAATTGTATATTCCAGAAGTTTTTGAATAAAGACTCATTTAGATCTATATATAAAAATAGTTCAATTGTTCAAGTATGCCCGTCAAGCGCATGTGCCATAGTGATTCCTACTTGCTATCAAATCCTTTACAAGAAAGTGCAATAAATCCATAAGATGATCATATGATGACTCTAGCTCGTATAATCCAAATTATTGGTACGAAAGCGAAACTTTGTATTTATGATCGGTTAGTTTGGGTAGTTTGTTAAATAAATGAGACCTTTGCAATAAAAAGGGAAAACTGCCGGAACAAATCAATTTTACGATGATCTGTCCTAAATAAAATAACGAACCAATAAGTCTCACAGACATTGCATGCATGGTTTGTGATCTAACTGCAGTTTGCCACGGCCAAGAGATTTTTGGCCATTTGGCTGGCAAAAATGGCAAATTTCGGCCAAATAACTAGGTACTAATAAATGTATAATACTTATGATTTTGGCCGCGACCAAAGATTTTTTTTTTGGCCAAACGGCCAATGGCCAACAATGATCTAACTGTAGAGTCCTCCTACGCTTAGACTTTGGACAATAACGAAGATTGACTCGGAAAGATATAGTAGCTTCAATATAAAAAAAAAAAAAGTTAACTGTACATTAAAATTGTATTTTTAACGGTAGTTCTTTTTATGCGAAAAATATTTTATTTACATTTCGTTTATCAAATTTGTTAAATTTGTTTTTATTTATCTCCTTTTGTATCACATGTTAATTTTATCTTCATACAATCTTCCAATAGAATAAATTAGAATAAATTTTGTAAAAAGGGGTGGTGTTTCAAAACATCAAATCAACATAATAATATGATTTGACACAAATTAGCCAATTAAACATGCATATGATCAATCTATGATGATCCATTTTCAATCTTTAAAATTTATAAATATAGCATTTTCGCGAATGCTCGATCATTTTTCAAAAGCTTCGAGACTGTTTTTGTTTCGTAGTAATCCACAAATATGGAAGCATTACCAGTAAATTCATTTTACAAATCAATGACTTACATTACATGATTCAATAAAGCTAACGAAACTGAACTGAGAGTCTAAATCAATCGATTATGAAAGAAAAGTCTTAAATGCATTAAATACACGTTCGAACCAAGTTTTAGTCACCTTTCAATTCGTGGTCTGTGAAGGCTCTCTCTTTACACATGTTTCGTCATATATTGAGCGAACCTTTATTCAGGTATATGGTAGAAAGGGCTTCATTTGGACGTATTTCAGGGTATAACATGACATTATTAGCATATTTTTTTTTGATTTTTCATCATTTCTTATGCGAACATAAAAAAAAAAAAAATAAAAAAGGTCTGCCGCCTACAAAATCTAATCAATGAAAGCCGAATTCTATTTTCATATTTATGTTTTTTTTTTCACTTATTTGTGTTTTTCGAAAGATATAATTTGTTAAATGGTATCTGAGAGAGATTTAAGTACAGAGAATCAATTCTAAATAGTAATTATAGCGAATCAGTTCTTTTTGATTTTTTTCAAATTTTTCAGATTCGCTCCGTATATATTGGAGGTTTGCAATTAAAATCATGTTCGGATCATATGATTGACTATGTCTTGCAATTTATTTTAATAGCAAACGATCTCCTATTATAATAGTAAAAATATTGATAAGATATAGCAAAATTAAATAAATCAATACAGTCGACCCCCTATATAATCATAATCACTTCTCGCGGAAGTTAATAATAATACTTTAAAAAAATTCTTCTATAGTCACATTATATAGTTTTTTTAATAATCACACCAAATTTTTTTGTTCACAAGGGGTGTGGCTATATAGGAGGTCGACTATACATATATATAACAGGTTGGTTTTTAAATTTTCTCGTTTTTTTTTTTTTTTTTTATTAAAAAAAAAAAAAAACTCATATAGAAAGAAAGCTTTCTTAACGAAAAAGAAACGTGTCAAGCGCGTACAGAAGCGTCCAATTATGTTGGATCATCTAAAAACGCCCGAAAATTATGTCAAAACCCGTGATGCCTCGAAACATGGTTTTGGTACATTTTACGGGCGTTTTTAGATGACTGGACGCTTTTTATATGCACCAGTACGTTCTTTTTTTGTATGAGAAAAGTAGACGATGAAGGTCAATTCAACGGATGTTCTGTGTAACGGACATAAATATAATATCGGCGTACTTCAAAGACTTTGTTTAAATTTAAAATTAAAGAATCTTTAAAAATGAACATTGTACATTCATGTGCATTCATAAGAAGAAAATACAATCAGACTTTGTCTATAATCACAATTTATAACATAGTAAGTTTTATTATATTGTGATAATATAGGAGTGATTATAAAAGGTTTTTATATGATGTGATTATAGACAGGGTGATTATATACAGGTCTGAAAGACAAACTTTTTTTAACTTTTTTAAAAATAATATTTACAAAAGTCGACTAAAGTTATTGTAAACTAAACCCTAAAAGTAAGGTAGGTTGTACCGGGTAAATAAGTGGGTTTCCCCTGAGAAAAAGAATAGATATTAATAATTTGGTGTCCATGGATGCACCTAATTTTAATTAATTTCAGACAAACGCAATGATTCGTATTTCCTAGATTGTAATTTAATTAAGAACAATAGAATGTTCGTTCTGTTGTTAGAAATTTGATTATAAATGTTCATACACCCTTAGGTCGACTAAAGTTATTGTAAACTAAACCCCTAAAAGAGGTAGGTTGTACCCGGTAAATAAGTGGGTTTCCCCTAGGAAAAGAATAGATATTAATATTTTGGTGTCCATGGATGCATCTAATATTAATTAATTTCAGACAAACGCAATGATTCGTATTTCCGAGATTGTAATTTGATTAAGAACAATAGAATGTTCGTACTGTTATTAGAAAATTTGATTATAAATATTCATACACTCTATCTACCCTTACAATGCCAGACTATCCGTTAATTTAAACCTTTTTCCTTTTTGATCATTTTTGTCAGATAACCCATTATTAAGATACAAAAATTAATATTTATACTAAAGGATTATTCAAAGCCCGTAAACCTTTTTATTAAGCGTTATTTACACAGATTTTGAAAATCTACGATTACGATACCTATCCAACTTTTAATAAAGGAGAAATGGAAGCTAAAAAAAACTGCTCAGACTGTGGAAAAGAACGAGCCAGTGTAGGATGGTGCAAGGAGTGTGAAATTGGTGCTTTTAAAAATAATTTCAAAAACTGGACAAGTGGAAATCTTGATATAGATAATTTCATTATGTATACTCAGTTAAAAGCAACTGGATGGTCAGATTATTTGGAATATATTGATTTTGAACAATTTGATCTTATAGAAAAGGAAAATAAAGGTGGAGCCTTTAGTGAAATTTTTTCTGCAATTTGGATGGAAGGTCCTCGATGGACTTGGAATGATTACGCTGAACAATATATACGTAACGGACCTATAAAAGTTGCTCTTAAGAGATATAACGATTCACAAAATATAAATGAAAATTTTTTAGCCCAAGTAAGAATCATTTAATTACCAGGCACACGTGATGATTTCCTTTATAGAGTTCAAATAATATGTCACCCGGCGTCACACCTACTTTTCGTTTTGGTATTGTTTGTCACATTATTTGTCACATGGGTTGATTGCTAGGAAAATCAGGTTCCGGGAATTTTTTAGCAAAATTGAGATTTTAGTTTTTGATGTTATTAGATCAAAATGTATTAAGCTCTTAATTTTAGTCAAAAATTTCTCGGAACCTGATTTTCCTAGAAACACTCCCACATGATTACTTTCGGCCAAGTAATATAATGCCGACCAAAAAAATCACGTGAATGAAAAACTTGGTGCCATCTTCCCCAATTTCGCCAGAAAAAATTTTCACCCCACGTGATCATATGAATATTTGTCACATCGCCTTCGCGTTTTCCATTTGAACTTCGAATTTTTTCGGGGTGCGAAATCATATTTGTCACCTTCACTTTGTTAATTTCTTAATGCCGTAATGCCGGCCAAAGGTCACGTGGGATGAAAATATAAAAATTCATTTTTTTTATTTAAAAAATCAATTATTTGTTTTTCTGTGCCATACCGAACACGTGATTTGAATTACTGTATATATGAATTTTTTTTAACCGGAGGGGGGCGTGACAGCTGACGATTTGTGTATTGTCTCGAGGTGTGAAAATTTTGGGGCGAATACTTAATTACAGTCAAATGTCACTATACGTCACCCTCTCTAAATGTACATACTATATTTCTCTCTAATTACACGGTACAAGCAATATAGAGATCAAAATAAATACATTCCCTCTTTAATTGCACGTTTTTTTCAAATTTCGCTAAGGTCCCAAAGGGGTGCATATAGAGAGAAACTGTAATACCGCTTTATTGACATGATGTTATTCAACATTTTATTAATATTTTATTTAATCGTATTTTAATATAGTTTTACGATTTTCATCGTTCACTTAACGGAGGAAGCATAGCGGATTGTTTTGGAATAACAAGGGATCCTTCATCATCGAATTACATGATGGTAGTGACTTATATTCATATATAGAAGAAAGGCACGGAAATCTTGATTGGAAGGATATTATCACAACTCTTTGGGGACTATCTACAGAAATCATTCGTGTTCAACAAATCGGATCATGTTATGGAAATCTTCACGGAGGCAATGTACTGGTTGAAGATGGAAATATACGTATCACCGATATTGAATTATTTTTTCAAGTTGGTAAAAGGAACGAATTATATAAATTCCTTCCATATATGGCCCCTGAAATTCTAAACGGGGAATCATTAACAAATTCTACGGACATTTATAGTTTTGGAATCATCATGTGGATACTTTCTGCAGGCATAGTACCATGGTGTAATGCTCCATATGACATTAGACTATTGGGAAGAATTCGTCTTGGTCATCGTCCTAAAATTATTGATGGAATTCCCAATATTTACACGGAATTAATGAAACGATGTTGGGATTCAAATCCTTTGAAACGTCCAACCGCATTCGAATTACATGATATATTAGAAAGATGGGTAACCGCTATTGACGATTCTAATATATCAGAATTTAATAATATTGATGAGAAAGAAACCTTGGATTCGGAAAGAAACAAACTTCATCGACAAGGATTTTACCATAAAGATATTTTTACAAGTAGGCTTGTTGATTTCTCCCAATTAATTAATTGATTAGATTTTAAAAAAAAATTAGAAAATATACTTTTTTTTAGAAACTATAGATTATAAACATTTAAAATTATAAATTATATAGAAAAATACATATAAATTGGATAGATATAGGTTGGCAAAGATACAAATTGGTAAAAAAAATAAATCGGTATTCGAAGATATTGGCAAAGATACAAATTGGCAAAAAAAATAAATCGGTATTCGAAGATATTGGCAAAGATACAAATTGGCAAAAAATATAAATCGGTAGTCGAAGATACGGGTTGGCAAAGATACAAATTGGCAAAAAATATAATCGGTAGTCGAAGATATAGGTTGGCAAAAAATATAAAATGGCAAAGGTATATATGAATTATGATATATGATTAATCTTACTTTTATGAGTAATTTATGATTTAAGATAATAATAAGATTTAATAATTTAATATTGAGTAAACATTTGAGATTTGCTATTAAATTCATGTTCGGATCATGTCTTGTAACTTGATTTTAATAGCAAACCTCCCATTTATTTAATAAAGAATTTAATAAAAAAAAAAAAAAATTAAAAATTAATTTTTTGTCTGTGATCACGTGAAACACGAGAATTCTTTTTGAAATATACAAGTTTATTCGTTTTTATACAAATTTTTTACAAATAAATACAAATATTGATTTTTATAAATTTAATAGGTTTAAATTAAACTTTTTACTGTTCTTACTGTCTCTATTTGATTTTTCCCAAATCCAAACGTTCTTATTAGATGCCTTATAACCTTTCGTTTTATATATTATCCCAAATTGTAATTGAACTTTTTTTAGTAATTCTTCAACTTTTTCAAAAGGAACAAGGTCACCAAACTGTTTCTTGGGCGGTAATAAAGGAATATCTACCGATGATGAAATGGTTGAATGAACATCACTATCATCACTATTAGAAGAAGAGGGCAATGATCTTTTTAGATCATCTTGAACATTTTTTGCTAAAATCTTTAGAGAATTTTTCCAATAATAATAATCATTGTTTAAACAATCAATTAGATCTTTAAAACTTTCATCATAAAGTTCGTTGACAAATTTCATTTCAAGATAAGTTTTTTCGTATAGCTTCACCTTGTTTATGTAACCTTTACTAGTTCGTTCTTCTAATAAATTCAATAATAATGACCAAATGTTGTATTCTTGTTCCGACCAATTGTCCATTTTAGTTGGAAATAGGATATCTTCTAAAAGTATTGAATGGGGTACCAAGTCAATGTACTTTGTGTAAAGTAGTATGTTTAGAAATTTTGCGAAAAGAGCAGAACGTTGCTTGCGTGATTTTGTCCAATTTGAAGAAAATTTTCCTCCCATTTTATGATGCGAATATGTGTTAAAACGTTTTTTATATTATTTGTGTGTGTGTATATGAGATTTTTTTGTTTTCGAACTTTTTTATATTTCGTGTACAGGTTTATATTTTATTTTATTTTTTGAAATGTATGCGAGTTTTTGTTTTTGAAGCAAGTGCTTTTTTTGTATGTTGAATGTTTTGACGTTAATACCGGTACTAACGAGATTTTAATATGCTAGAAAATTCTAATTTGTCAAATTTTTGTTTTAAATTTACAATTCATGCAGAAACCACGACTATATATATACAAAAAAATTCTACAATACAAATTTGGTTTTGTTATTTAAAGCAAAATCCCCCCTTTTTTTTTCATGGATCGACAATGACGCTAATACAAGTTACACGTACATTTACATTGTAATTGAAAAAGGAATTGCGCTACCATATCGATTTCCCATTATCGCAAATTTAGCAAGTATTGTTACTATACTTAAATTAAGTAAAAATTTTTTTCTCCTATACTTTTGGACAAATTTGGTACAATCTTTGTGACCGAAATAAAATTTCAAGACAATATTAAGGACTTTCCTGTGTTTCTTACTTTTTTAGTATTATTCTTTTTTTCTTGTGCTACATCAACTATTTTTGGGGATCATAATAATTAAATCTCACAGACTATATTGTAAGTAAATCGTTGTTTGGGTCTGATTATTTTTACCCGAATAAAATAAAATTTTTTTCGATTTTGGTTTTTTCGGAAATGATTGGATGTCGTGTATAAAAAAAAAATTATTCGGTGCTTCACGTGATATACAAATATGATGCAATGCTTACATAAATTCGAAACGCAATGATTTGATACATTGTTATTCTTTAACGATTGTAAATGGCGAAATTCAAAAAAAAAAAAAAAAAAAAAAGAAAAGAAAAAAAATTTAACGTATAATCAAGCACCCTTCATCACAGACTACGACCTAATTATCAGGTGTAATAATGCACATTAACGTATTTTAAAAGATGGAATCAATATCAATCTCTGAATTTATACGTGAGTATATTTTTATGTATTTTGTTTAATGGGTCAAACATATGCTTTATTTTATGTAACATGTCACGATACAAACAAATTTTATTGAAATAAATTATTTACAGCAACAAATTTGGTTAAAAGGGGGTTAACCTTTTAGGTTTATTTACTTTCTCTTCTTGTTTCACATCATCCGCATAAATTCAAAAAAAGTAAAAAAGGTGGATTATCAGCCGTGGGTAAATTTGGCCAGTCAATCATATTAAATTATTTTATTCTGTTTGACTCAGCCAACAAAATTGCATTCGGATGGAATTAAAGTTAAGGTTTGCCAAAAAAAATTTTGGTTCAGGTTTCATTACTCCAAAATTTTTTTGACAGATGCATTACGTGATTTGTAGCCTATTTGTAAAAAAAATTTTTAATTTTATTTTAATTAATTAAATAATAAATATTTACGAACAATTAATATCATTGAGTTTCATATTTATTTTTTTTTTGCATTCAAAATAATCAAACACAAAAAGCAAACAAAAATATCCATTTAATTCCTAATAGTTTGAAGTTTTTTTTTTTTTTTTATATTTCTTCTAACATTTTCATCCTTTATTAGAAATCAGTTAAATTTTTTTTTTATTTAATATAATTTAAGTTGGACCTTCCGGGGAATACCATTCGGGTGCCTGAACACTTTTACACTAGGGACAATAAAATTCTAGGATTGTTGGGATGATAACAACTCATAAAGTCTCGTAACGTAAAGATTCTTCACGCGCAAAGACTTTACCGTACCCGTTGACGTACTCGTAAAACACTTCTGGTTTCGATTTTATTTTTTGAAAACAATGAAGATACTACATAATAATGGATGTCTCCCGTACTTTTCATAAATAAAACCAAGCAAAAAACTAAAAATATTATTCCGTAAACTACATTGAGGAGATCCAATCCCATAATATACTGTATAGTATCGACTACACTATTGCTTTCTTTTCCTATTGAAAATTGATCTTAATGTTGACGTTGACACTATCGACAAAATATTTAATGTTTTAAATAATGTTTTGTTATATATATAAAAGTAAAAAAAATTTTTTCCCGCTTTATAATTTAAAATCTACATAGTTTACACGCACTATATTATATATACAGTATACTGTACATACCAAATTTAAATAAATAAATAAAATACTGATTATTCATATAATTTTAAATAATTGTCATCGTCTTTGGAACTTTTAAGAAGAGCTAATTCTTCTTCTAGTCTTCTAATTTTAGCATTTTCCCAAACACTATTACTAACCTTATCCCACCAACTAATATTTAATAATTCAGTCATACCTTCTTGCATCAGATTTCTAACCACCGAACCTTCTTTTTGTACTTTACCTAATAATCTTTCTACTTCATCTACTCTGTCAACAGCGTGATCCAATTCTCTCGTTTTATTTTCCAGTTCCATTTTTAATCCTACCACTTCCTTTTCTAATTTAAAAATATCATTTCTAGATTGTTTCCATAATTTTTCGGCTTCTTCAGCTCTTTCATTGGCTATCAATACTGCATTACTAACTTGTTCAAATACTTGATGATGATGCTCTAAATTCGAGTGTAAATTATTTATTTTTACTCTATCATTGGATTTTTCTTTCCTAAATAATTCTATTTCATTATTGACCTTTTCTAATTGCTTATTTGATTTTTCTAATTGTGATTCGGATGTGGCAGCTTTTAACCTTAAGGCGGCTAATTTGGCTAAAACTCTCTCTCTTGCTTTTTCGGCACTTTCGGCTCTTGATATATCAATTTGTATTTGATCATTAACCGATTTTTTTGTGGATTTTTCTAAATTTGATGATTGATAAAATTCAAGATATTGATCTTCTAACATTTTATTTTCCGTTAATGTCTTAATCAATTGCTTTTCCAACTCTTTTGTTTGACCAAGTTCAACGTTAGAAAATTTGGATTCAGACAATTTGACCAAAGTATCTAATTTCGTCCTAAAATACGTTGCCTCATGCACCGCTGCCGATCTTGCTCGTTCTGTTGATGAAAGTTTTTGTGATACGACCTGTGCCTGATTTGATATCTTTGCTTTTGCCTTCAATAACCTTTGTTGAATTTGGATGATCGATTCCATAACTCTCCTTTGTTCTGCATTGTATACCTCATCATCATCTTCATTAATTAACATTTTTTCGACTTCTTCCGTTGCACCACCATCCTCTTTGTTCCCATCATCATACAGATCAGGTGTAAATCCTGATTTACGTGCCGAATCCAGTTCAGCTTTAAACCATGATTCTCGTTGTTTAAATTCTTTTATATTTGACTGATGTTGTTCAAATTCCTGCTTTAAATTTTCATCATCCATTTTAAGATGAGGTATATCTGAGACATCTTCGGTGACATCTAATTTAGATGTTTGAATAATAAAACTATCATTCGTATTTGACGATGTTGTCATTATATCTTCGTTTTCATATACTGAACCGTCACTTTCACTTTCATGTTGTGATTTTTCATTCCCACTATCATTATTAGGTTTAACATCCGAGATAGAAGAATTTGATGATTTCGGCTGTGATGACGACCGTACTCGAGTACTTTCATCATCATTATAAACAGAATTCCCACTTCGCAATGAAGCAACTGATGAATTATCCGGAGTATTTATACCATTACTAGGTGAATGTGTCAATGATTCTTGTAATTTTATCAAACTATCCCGATTTAATTGATCGGAATCTGTTCTCATGTGTAATGGAGAACTATTATTTGGTCTACTGGCACCCATGGGTCTAGCACCACGTGGACGAGTTTCTTTTCCATTCCGACGACTTGATAATGAATGATTGCTTTGGTTTGACGATGATGATGTCAAAGAATCTGATGAACTTCGCTTATCAGATTTATAAATCGTAGTAGTTGAACTATTATTTCTCTTACTTGGTATGTTTTTAACTTTCTCAGTCTTATTTTCACTAACGTCAATTGTCGTATTTCTTGTAGCTTCACTAGTAACTAGTTCTTTTTGTTCAGAAATTACTGACGATACTGGCAAAGCCGACGCTCTCGACGTTGGTATGATATTGGGTGTATTATTAATCGAGGCGATGGTGGTTGAAGGAAATCCTATTATCGGCAAATCCATTTTACTATCATGAGAGATTTGCCTTGAAGGCATCTCGGTTGTTTGTGTGGTTTTTTGACTTTCAACAGATATTGTCGAAGGATGTTCTCCAAAATGTGAACCTATTATTTGATTATCAACCGAAATCTTCAATGAATTAACTTCCGTTGCCTGCATTGTTGTTCTTTGATTACCAACCAAAGTTGTCCATGTTGTTTCGGTGGGAGATTCTACAATTGGTGTGATTGTTCTTTCATTATCAACTAAAGTTGTAGTCGAGGAAGTTTCCACTACTGGAGTTTGAGAAGGAGGTTCCGTTATTGGCGTAATTATTCTTTCATTATCAATAAATGTTGTGTTTGGGTTCGAGGGAGACTCCGTAATTGACTTCTGATTATCAACTATAGTTGTGTTCGAGGGAGATTCCGTTATTGGTGTAATTGTCTTTTCCTTATCAACTAAAGTTGAATTCGAGAGAGATTCCATTATAGGAGTGACTGTACTTTCTTTATCGACTAAAATTTTATTCGAGGGTGATTCCATTATTGGAGTAATTGTTCTTTGATTATCAATCAAGGTAGTTTTTTGATTATTAACAGTTATTTTCGAAGGAGATTTGATTGTTGATGTAATCAATTTTGTATCATCAGCAAAAGTTGCCCTCGAGGGAGACTCAATAATTGTTGTAATTGTCCTTTGATTATCGCAAGAAGTTCGTCCCGAAGGAAATCCTGTTATTTGTTTGGTTGTTTTATAATTATCTGCAGAAGCTCTTCTGATAGGAAACTGTCTATGTGAAGGTCCTAATGATAATTCATGTGGTGTAGGCCTATTATCAACTGAGATTCTCCTGGGTGCTAAAGCCCTTGGTGTTGATGAGATTGATAATTCTTGTGAATTTGTTCGTCGATGTGAAATTCTTAGTTGATTATCGAGAAAAATTCGCCTATTAGGATTTTCATTTGTGGTCATTATTGAATCTTCCGGAATTGAATTTTGAACCTCAAAAAAATCTCGTTTAATTGACATATCCTGTATAGGGTTTGCCCAAGCACTAATGTTAATTTTTGACTTTATAGGTAATGGTAACGAAGATTTATTATTATATCCTGTCAAATTATTATTATTGAGATCTCCTTTATCTATTTTATCTATGAAGTTCTTACGAATTATTTCCCTTGATGATAGATATTCTTGTTGCTGTTGTAATTGAGCTACATTTATTGTTTGCAATTCATATGAACTAATTTCAGAATCAGTAGGCGAATATTCTTGTTGAAAAAATTGAACATTTTCGAGTGCCTTTCCTTTTGAAGGAGAAGTTGGTCTCTGTGGGAAGGATGTTTCTCTGCCTGTTTGTGTAATTATTTTGCTGGTTATGACTTTTGGTTGTGACGTTGGTGGTGGCGAAACTATTGCTGAAGGACCTCGATCTACTTCTTTACCCTTGGATGATTTTTGAGGTTCTGGTGCTGGTGGTGGTGGTAATGGTTGTGATGGTGGTTTTGATTGCGGTGGTATGGACTTTCGTAATGGTGGCGGTGGTGGTAATGGTTGTGAAGGTGGTTTTGATTGTGGTGGAGTTGACTCCGGCAGTGGCAAAGCAGTCGTATTTCGTGGAGGAAATTCATTTGGTTGAGTTCCATTTGGAAATTTGATTTTTGCTATGAAAATTTGTTCTCAGATAAATAAATAAAAATTTTAATATTCAAGAAAATTTTTCTATTGAATTACAACTTACAAGTATCTAAAATATGTATTATCCCATCTTCGTCTATTTTTGGTGGTTGAGAACAATCACCACCAAAGACACATATTTTATCATGAGACGCCGTCATATTAAGACTATACCGAGGACTTGGTGATGGACCAAGATTTGGGAACTTGTACCATCTTAAATCTGCATAAAATTAAAATTATATAAACCGAGAAACAAATTCCGAGTAAATGAAAAGAACAATACTTTTATTGCGCTTACTTGATATTCGAAAAGCGCACAAATCTCCTAATTCCTTAATTACATTTCCTTCTTTTGTCCTTCCGCCAAAAGAATATATAACATCATTTATAATTGTTGCGCTGTGTAACTCTCGTGGAGCTGGTATATAACCTGTACAAGATAACTCTGTCCATGTATTTTCTTTTATATCATAACACCATGTATCATTGTAATATTTTTCTCCATCACTCCCACCAAATCTAGGAGGGTAAATGTGTTTAAAAATTAAATTAAAATAATTTTTGAAGTTTTTTTTAGAAGAACTTACATATATATTTTATCATCACAATTACAAGAAATATGTCCACTCCTTGCAGGTGGTGGAGAATTTGCTGGAACAATAAAATTCCATTCAGATGAATTATTATTTCCTAAAAAAAAAAATTTGGTTTTTTTATATTATTATTATTTTTTTTAGATCATTTAAAAAAATGTTTAAATTTCAAAAAAAGTATATTTTAAATGATAAAAATATATTCACCTTTACCTAAAGTAAATTTCAATTTACTTTTTTTCTTAATTGATTTGAAACTCTTAAAATCAAAAGAAATTAAATCATTTAAATATTTTTCATCATTTCGACCACCAAAAATATATATTTTTGTCCCAATTGCTGTAGACGTATGACCATATCTTCCGGCAGGAAGATTTCCTGTAATTGTTGGTTTACTCCAAATATACTTTGAACCTAAAAATGAAATCCAGATTCAAAACAATGATCGTATTTTTGAAAATGACAAATTTAATGATTTACCTATGTCGAGCATATAAATGTTTCCATCTAGTTTATCTTCGGGATTGTCAAATTTACCGCCGAAAACTATGGAATTAAATAGGTAATTTTTAATTTCGGATTTTTTTCTCTAAAAATCAAAAAAAAATATTAACTGTTGGGTTTCGAAATTATACCAAAAAGACTCGTTCCGGTGTTGATATGTGTATGAAGACTTCTCGCCTTCGGCACATCACCCGATGTGGCTATTGGAATAACATTAAGTGAATCTGCAATAATTCTCTGTGTTAATCGTCTATCCGTAATTAATCTGATCATATGAAAAATTACAAATTACTTACCGAATTCAATAACAAAGACTTCGTTGGTAGCTTTATTTTGCGAAATACCACCAAAAAGAAACAATTCATCATTGATAATATGATCACTCGCAGAAAAACTATGACGAGGAAAAGGATTAAATGCATTCAATTTGTTTTGAGACCACGGATAACGAGAAACTTTATTGTTTTTTGATTTCATCTTTATTATTTAATTAATTCTGATTTTAATTTTTGACAGATGAAATTGAAATATGTTCAAAAAAAGAAATAAAATAAAAGTTTGAAAAGGTTGAAAACAGAAATATTTATAAAAATTTAAAAATATATATGTGTGCGATGTGTGAGAAAAATATTAAAGATACCAGCGAGCCAGCGTGGTTTGATTTTTTTAAGAAAATATTGAGTTCATTATTTATAAAGTTAGAAAAAAAGTATTTTGGTTTTAAATGCATTGATACACAAAAACGTAACATTCTCTCTCTCTGGTCTGCAGATCTCAAATTCTACCAATTAAATATTCGCTACATAAAGCCACATTTTAAAAAATTTCTATTTTTAAAAGTTGTTAAAACCTGATAAATTCTCATGATATTTTATAATTTCAAATATCTCATTATGAATCAAACTAAAACATCAAAAATTACTTTTTATAATATATTACCTTTTTTTTATATACTTTATATTAAATATTTTTTTAATATATTGTTTAATTATAATAATTTAAGTATTTTTTTTAAAAATAAAGTTTAATTTATATAATTTTAAAATTTTAACTATTAATAAATATTAATAAATATTAAATAATAATAAATAGTAATATATTCTTTAATAAAGATAAATAAATAAAAATTTATAATTTATATATTATAAAATAATTTAAGTTTAGTTCATTTAATTATTTGCTAAATTTAACAAAATTTAGTCATGATAAAAATAATTTAGACAAATATTACTACTTATAGACATATATATTTTATAGTTATATATATATAGATAAAAAAGTAATCTGTGAATAATAATCACGCAAATATCTAAATAATGTAAATATTCAGATCACATTTAAATACTGCAGATTTGTGAAATTTGTCTGCAGATTATCCGTAAATATTAATAGATATTTGCAAATTAATATCAATCTGTAAGTTAAAATCTGCAGATATCTGTAATAATTAATTACAATTTGTATTTAAACTTTAATATTCAATAAAGTATAATACAAATAATTACAATAAGAACCAATATATTTAAATGATTATATAAAGATTTAAAGGTTTATTATAAAGAAAATTATAATTGAATATTAAGAAATGCTTTAAAAAATTTATTTGTAATTGATTAAAATGTTGCATATAATATAATTTTTTGAAAATTCTAACATAAATAACCTGATCTTTACATAGATATATACAATTAATTCAAAACATTACAATGGCTTTTCAGATTGTAATATTATTTTAACCTATTTCAAAAAAACTTTACTAAAAAAAAGTATAATAATTGTTAAAAATATTAATCTTCACCAAAAAATTCTAATATGTAAATTTGATTATAATAAATAATAATGTTGTAATGAAATTATAATAAAATAAATAATAATAGTAAATAGATTTAAAATAAATTGATAAATATATAAAATATAAAATATGCATATAATTTTTTAGAAAAGACCAGATAATATTAGGTCTATTCATAAATATTTAGATATTTATGAATTTGCTACTATTCATGCGATCTGTTTATTATTCATAAATATTTAGATCATAATCCACAAATTATTTATTTAGTTTTCAGCAGATGTATAATTATCATCTAAATTAAGGTTGTTAGATGAAATTTAAAGGTTTTGTAAGTTATCTAAATGGAAAAAGGTAAAATTTAATAAAATTATATTAAAATCTTATTAAAAAATCTGCAAAAATCTAAAAAGGTAAAATTATATCAAAGCTTATAAAAATACAAAACTATATCAAAACCTTAATAAAATTTAGTAAAACTATAGTTTAGACATTTTGTCAAATCTAAATGAGTTTAGACAAGTAACTTTAATCTGAATCATTTTTTTAACTGATGAATAAATAATTTTATCCGTAAATAATTCAGATCATTTTACTATATATAGAGCTACCAAAAGATATAAGTAGTCATTTTTTAAGTTTAAAAATCTATAACTTATTAATTTAAATATTAGAATTATAATTTTATATATTTTTTGATTCTTAATATTTGAAGATTTTTATATTAAAAAATTTTTTAATTAAGAATATCAATTTTACATAAATTATTAATTTATATTAAAAATCCGTACTTAGTAAAATTTTACTAGTAGAAAAGATTTTAAGTAGTACAAATATAATAATATTCTTTATATATATGCTAGTTTTATTTAATTATATAAGTGTGTTAAGTTTCATAAACATTAGGTTAGTAATTACTAAACTATTCAAATTTAAATATTATTAATTTACTTATAAAATTATTTTTTTTTAAAATGAATTTATAAGTAAATTATTGATATTTTAATTTAAATAGTTTAGTTATTATTAGTCTGATACTTATAAAACTTTATACACTTACATAACTTAAGTATAGTTAGCATATATATAAAGAATATTATCCTAACTGTGTTACTTAAAAAAGGGATCAGCATACCTAATTCAGTTGATAATAATTGAGCTTTTATTATAGATTATGCTATAATATTCAGGTTTGAGTCTCAGTTAAGACATAAAACTAAATGATTTTTTTAAGAATTTCATATATAACTAAATATGTAGATATATATACTAATATACATTTGTAACTAATTGATCAATCTATCGATTGGCATTGATCATACTTAAATACTAGATTTAAAAAATATATAAATGCAAATAAAATTAGAAATTAAAAAATATGTCTTTCGCTAATAAGTCTATAATAGATACTATCTCACATCTTCAAATTCAGGGTCTTTATATAAGTAAGAAAATTATTAACCAATTATTAGTAGATTGAATACTCTGAAAATAGGTTATGATAATAATAAATTACATTGCATTATCACAGTATTATCCAATCAAGCTGTTATTCAGAATAGAGGCTAGGTTCAATTTCTGGATAATTTTGATGATATGAATATAACAACTATCTACCTTTCTAAGATTCTATAAGAATGATAATATCTAAGTCTTTCCAGTCATATGTAATATACCCTAATATCAAGCAAAGATAATAGTAATTCTGATTAGTATTGATAAATATAGAGAAAAGTGACGTAAATATCTGTAGCTAAAAGTGATCTCTTTATCAAAATTTGATAGTAGTTCTAATGCCTAAAAACTTAAGATTTACTCTTAAGGGTGTCATCCAGATAGCAAGCTTTGAATTAGTATTAAATAGACAGATTCTGATATTTAATCATAACTTTATAGGTCTAAAGATTAGTATTAATTTGCATATAATTACTATTAAGATGCTTAGTGTCTTAAGTATTAAAACTATAAAAAAACTGTTACTTAAAATTTTATTAAATATAGATTTTTAGTATAAATTAAAGCTTTGCATAAGCTAGCTTAAACTAAGCTACTTTTTTTCTAGCTCAGTTCAGCTTAACTCAAGAAATCAATCGACTAGCCAAGCTAAGCTAATCAGCTTGCAAGCCAGCTTATTCAACTTGTATTTAATATTTCAAAATGAAATTCTGTTAAGAAAAATGTTTTCTATTAAAAGAAATATTTTCAGAATGATTCTTTTTAAGAGAAATATTTTCAAAATGATTCCTTTTGAGAGAAATATTTCTAAAATGATTCTCTTAAAAAAAAATATTTTTGGACTGGATGATTCCTTTTGAGAAAATATTTTTAAGATGGTTCTTTGTGAGAGAAATGTTTTCAAAATGATTCTCTATGAGAAAAATGTTTTCAAAATAATTTCCTGTAAGAGAAATATTTTTAAAATAATTTTCTGTGATAGAAATATTTTTAGAATGATTTCCTTTAAGAAAAATATTTTTAGAATGATTCTCATTAAAAGAAACATTTTTAGAATGATTTCTTTTAAGAAAAAATGTTTCTAGAATTTTTTATTTTGAGAGAAATAATTATTGAAATGATTTTCTTTGAAAAAAATATTTTCAGACGCTTCTCTTTAAGAGAAATATTTCTGAAACAATTTTTATAAAGGATTTCATAGAATGATTTTCTTAAAGAATTTTACATCCAGAATGATTTTCTTGAAGGATTTTGCTTTCAGAATGATTTTCTTAAGAATTTCGCTTTTAGAGAGATTTTATTAAAAGAAAATATTTTTGTGACTTTCCTTTAATAGAATTATATCCTTTATAAAAATTGCTTTAAAAGTAAAATCATTTAAGAAAATTGTTTCAAAAGTAAATTTCTTTAAAAAAAAATTTGCTCTAAATATATTTTTCTTTAAAAAAATATCACTAGATATGTTTTTCTTTAAAGAAAATATCACTAGAGCTATATTTTTTAAGTAAATACTATTAATATATTATTTATTTAAAGAAAAACCTTTAAGAAAAAAATGTAAACTAACGAATCAAGCTGTAGTATAAATCAAGCCATAACATAGATCAGCTTGTCTAGCTTATGACTTATTTTATAATAGCTTAAGCTGAGCTTAAATGAGCTAGCTCATTTGACTTACAAGTAGCTTAGCTTATTGCAAAGCTCTAGTATAAATTAATAATTTATGTAAAATTAATATTCTTAATTAAAAAATTTTTTTAATATAAAATAAACTTCAAAACCTAAGAATTAAAAAAAATATAAAGTTATAATTTTAGCATTTATAATTAATAAGTTATAGGCTTTTAAATCTAAAATGATCACTTACATTTCATTTAGTAGTCACTGTATATATATATATAGAAAAAATAATTTTTTTTTTTTAGAATTTATTACTTTTTTACTTATAATACTTATAATACTAATTAAAAAAGAAATTAAATAGCCTAATAATCTTAAAAAATATAATAAATATTTTATAGATTCTATTATAAGTTTTATATATTAATTTGTAGATACTTATGATAACAAAAAATCTATTTTAATTTAGGATAAAAAAGAGATTATAGTAAATTGGTAAGTAATTAATAAAAAAAAACTATAAAAATAATTATAGAAATTTAACTTAATAAGAAATAAATTTATCTACCAATATTTTTTTAATAAAGAAAATAGATATAAAGGAATATGTAATCATAAGAAGGATACTATATTAGCATATAAAATGTGATATAATAAGCATTGTTCAAAAATATATTTATTATTGAAAGAAGATGAATAAAATATTTTAAAATAGATAGACCTAAAAATATTAAAATAGGTTTTCAATAAAATAAAATATTTGATATACTATAATATAGAGTTAATCTTAGAAAGTTATCTCTAAAAATATGTGAGAGACACTTTCTAAAAATATTAGAAGTAAATTTTTTAATGTATTTGTAATTCAACCAAATTGATACAAAAAGATAACCTTTATATTTAGTAATTAAGATAATACAAAAGGATAACTTTCATACTATATTCTCAATATTTTACTTAATAATCAAACTGATATAGAAGATTAATACCTTCAATATAAACTTTAATATCTAAACAGAAATAAAACTGAAAGTAAATATTTTCACCAAAGAATTTAACATCTATAAAAATAAGAAAAAAAAAGTAATAGTTAAACTAAAGAAATAATACTCATAACTAAGTATTAATCTAATGTAATTAGATAGGCGTTTACTTATGAATAACACAAAAGGCTTAAAAAATAGTCAAAACATAAAAAAAATAATTGATAAAAAAGGTAGGTTATAGGGTAATATTCAGATTATATCTATTAGATTATAGAGTTATAGTTAAATTATAGATATTAGATTATAAAGTAATATTTAGATTATAGTAAACAAATTATAATATAATAATTGGATTATAGAATAATATTCAGATTATAGAGTGGTAAATAGATTATAAAGTAATAATAAGATTATATAGTGGTAATTAAATTATATAGTGATATTATAATCTATTCTAAGTGAATATTATATAATTGTATACTACTATATTTAATAATTTATATATTTTATATAAAGTTAAAATTTCTTTATTTTATATAAAATTATTTAAATATACTGTATATTATAATTTAAAAAATTTCTTTTTTAATTTATAAATAAAATAACAATTTATTATCTAATAATAATATAAAATAATAACAAATAAACCTTTTTTAATTTTACTAATTGAATTTATAAAATAAATTTAAAAATTAAAATAATTTGTAAAAATTCAAAATTTTTACTAATTAAAATAATAATTTATTAAAAAAAATCAAGATTTTAATCAAATTTAATTAAAGGACTTTTATAATTAAAATTGTTTAATTATATAGAATTTGCTTTTAATAGATTTATTAATTATATTTAATTTTTTACATTTAATAATAAGTTTCAAATTTAATTTTAAATCTATATTAAAGTTAAATGTTATAATAAAGATGAAATAAAAAATGGTACAGAAAAGATGTTATTATAATATAATTGATAATGATTTAATGTTTGTTATATAAAAGTTACATTTTATTTAATCTTTAAATTATATAAAAACTCTTGATTAAGAATCTATTAAATGTAATCTATTCTTTTTATTAATTATTATTTAAAGTCGTTAATTCAAATATTAAAACAATGATTCGATAAGAAATTTATCTTACACTTTTATGCACAACCGATTTCTAATGTTTCCCCCCCAAAAAAGATTCATTATTTAAGTAATGTTTATTCAAGTTGCAAACATTAATTTTTTCCAGTTTCCGTAATATTTTGTGCACGTTGTTTAAGTTCTAATCGTCTTCTTGTATTAAAATATTCAACCTTTAAGAGTTAAATTCGAGTTTTATCCAAGCATCAAACATCAAGAAAAAATTAAATAATTAATAAAGATTCACAAAGTCACACCCTTATTCGAAAATAAACTCACCCAGCTAGTTATACAAGCTTTTTCATATTCTTCTTTTTTCTTCCAACAATTAAATTTTTTTACTAATTTTTGTATTTCGTCATTTTCTTGCACTAAAATTGGGTCAACAATTAATTTACTATCCCCACCGTTTAATGTATTATTATGAATGTTGTTAATTAATGGCGTAATATTCTCCAAACATTCAAAGTATTCATCTCGTAACTTCCAGCAAAGATTTCTTTGTGAACGTAAAGGTGGTTTTGATTGAGAGGTAGTTGTTGATGCAGACATTTTTTTTTTAAAAAAAAAATTATTTTTGAATGATCGGGCTTTTATACTTAATAGAAGATTACTTCCATATTTGGTTAGTTATCGATGTAGTGTGACTTTATAAGATGAAATTCAATTTTTTTTTTTTGAGAAAAGGTGCTATTTAGACAATTAAATTACAAAACGCAAGCATTAAATATTATTAATAGATGGAAACATCGAACTCGCAATTCAAGAATAAAAGTTCGTTATATAGAAGATAGATATATACCAAGTTCGGTATAATGAAAATCGCGTGATTTTTGTATACCTTAATGCGATATATTACTAATATAATGAAAATGTCCAAAATGAATTCTAATAAAACAAAAAAATTTTTTAAAAAATAATTTTAAAATATTTCTGTCATTGTGTCCTATAATAAAAGTATCGGTGGATTATCAAGGAAAGATAATACTTTATCTACTTCTGAAGCAAATTGTAAAATTAATTTTTCTGTAATATCCTTTTTATTTGATTTTATCATATTACATTTTCTTTTATTCTTCAATTAAATTCAATTCCAAAGTAAAATTACTATATTATACTTCTTTTATTTCATTTAAATTTTCATTATTATTTTGTTTTTTACAACCGAAGATAAAATTTCAGTTTAGATAATAAGTCAGGGAATAGACCAAATAAGAAAACGAGTTCTAGAATAATCCATGTGCAAATCCCTAAAATTTGATTGGCTTACATATGCTTTTTATACGAAAAAAAACTTTACATAACTTTCTGTTCAATGTTAAATAAAAGCTTTCAAACGGATAGAATAAAATGTCTAGTTTTCATAATCACAAATAATCCCTCACAATAAACACTTTTTGTTAAAAAAAAAATGAGAGCTTAAACTAAGTATTTGCTTTGCATATTGTTAATTAAAACAAATAAAAGAATACATTTTCATTAACTAACTAATAATAATTTAAATATTTTTTTTATAGTGTCTACTTACTAGAGATCTAAAGCAAGAGATCTTCAATACATTTTGCAGATTTAGTTGAAAAAATATAGTACAATTAAATCTTACAAAACTAAAGAATTACAAAAATAAAGATATGCTAATAAAGAAGAAATAGCTAAAGACTTTTACAATATTATATTTATCTTTCTATACTTGCTAATTATTACTTTTATTTTAAGTTTTATTTAATTTATAAAAAGCATTATAATTAAACCATTGCTACTAATCAATTTTATTAGTATCTTATAGATTTCATTAAAAAAATAAAAAAATTTTGACTTAAAGATAATTGATAAAATAAAAATGCTTTTGTAATTTAAACAAATAGATAATCAACAAAATTGCAATAACAATAGACTTTAATAATTATATTATATAAATGTAAAATTATATGAAAGATCAAAAAATAAAATAGAAAAGTTAAAAAGCTAATTATAAAAAACTTACGACAATATAATTCAAATATGAAATTTGTATAATAAATAATGTAAATACAATAAAATTCTTATTAATAGTATTAATAGTGAAATTCAAGATTTTTTGATCAACAAAAACATATGAATGTAATAACAAATACAGATTATATGTTATTATTTAATGATATAAATTATTAATTCATAATAGTACTAAATTTTTTATAAAGAGTTTTATAATATATAATTTTCATGAATAGCTTAATAAATATAATTATATGGGAGGGTTTCTAGAAAAATCAGGTTCCGAGAAATTTTTGACTTAAATTAAGAGCTTAATACATTTTAATCTAATAAAATCAAAAACTAAAATGCAATAAAAATCTCAATTTTGTTAAAAAATTCCCGGAACCTGATTTTCCTAGCAATCAACCCATATTGTATTATTTATTGAACTTTAATTTAGAATACTCAAAGTACTAATATTTTAAGCTAAAAAAAACTTTTTAAAACTACTATTATAATTGATTTAATATATTATATATAATATAAAAATATGTTTCAAAAATCTATCTTACTCTTTTAGTTATTAAATATTTAATTATATAATTATTAATATTGATAATTATATACTAAAGCATGATTATATAAATTTTTGTATATTAATTTTATTTTTTTTAATTAAATGTTTGAGTTTACTATTGTGAATATCTTTTCTTATTATATAAAAATATATATAGTTAATTTGCTTAATCAGCTTCTATCTAAATTAATATTCTTTATTCTAAAGAATTTATTGATAAAGAATCTTAAAAAATATTGCAGTATAAATAATATATGAAAAAATGAAATAATTTGAAAAATTCATAAAAGATTAATAGTAGATTGTACATTCATTGATACTAAAGTAACGTTAAAGTGTTATTGACTCTAAATCTTGCTTAAATAGTATTAGTAAAGTATTACTAAAAAAGTGAATTTATATATTTCTAGAGAATTTGAATCAAAATACTTTACAGTGAAAAGTTTTGGCATTTATGTAACTAATGTTGATAAGAAAGTATGATAAAAGACTAGCTTTATGATAAAAAATTTTCGTTTAAATTTTGGTTATCTTTAACTTAAAACTAAAAGTAATATTTTATCTCAATGTTAAGAAAATTATTTGATATAATATGTGAAAAATAGAATTGAAAAATATAACTTAAAACTAAAAATACATATGTATACTCCTAAATAGTATAATATAAGAAATGTAAGAATTAATACTGAAAAATCTATTGATAAGCTAATATAATTAAATTTTAAAATATATGATATATATATATTGATTAGAATCCCCTAATTGATCTAAGTAAATATTGCAATTTAAGATATTCTGAAACAGAGACTGGATCTTATTATTTTGAATCTAATTATTCTGCGTCTAATTGACATTTCTATATTCAAAGTGATGATCATTAACTTAGAAAAATTTTGCTAAACTACAGACTCCCGCCAAAAGTCTTTGAACACTTTTTGGCTTAATGTAAAACTTAAAATTTTAAAGTTTATTAAAAAAATTTATTAATTTATTTATTAATGTACGATATACTACACATTTGGTATTAAATAATTAGTATTTGATCAGGCCTTTATTTGCTTTATCACAGCCTAAATTTGCTATTACAAATCACTTCAGCTGGCTTCGCTGTGAATCTTTAATTAAGGATGATCGACCAGAACAAAGTCTCGAATTAACAGTTCCAGTATCATCCATTCTTTTTAAAATTCTAAATGTGATTAAAAATCTACAACTGATATTTACGGTAATAACCTAGTAACTATTGCTACGTTGACAGTAAAATATATACCGCTGCATTATTTTTTGAACATTTTCATAGTTTTCGAAAGGTAAATTTTATTTTGGTTAAAAATCAAAATAAATAAACTAAACACGCTTTTATTTAGTTTTGATTCAAGCAAATAAGATCAAGTACATTATATGATCACAGTATTATATAGTCATATAATGTATTTAATATAAAATAGTCAAATGATGATGTTTAGAGACTTTTGGTGGAGGTCTGTATATTATATATACCCTTTACAACATAAAAATGAAGATTAGCTAACTTATATTAGACATGAATATTGATTATAAGATTAGAATAAAAAAATAATTAATCTGATACTGGTATTTACTTTTTTGAAATTCTGGTATAATTTTTACTTATTATACTTTTTATTCAAAAGTTTTAGCATAATTTTCTTTTAATAATACAAAAAATGTAAGTATTAATTAAGATATATTATTTATTGATTTTTTATTTTTGGATATTATAAAGATGATTATGAGTAATTTCGTTAATTAATTTAATATATTATAATTTAAAACCATAATTTTTATTAAATTGAGTTAAACATTTTTTTCTTGTACAAAGATTTTCAGAAAAAGAAGTTATATTTCAAAATATAAATCATGTTACAGATCATATAATTTACTATGTTCGTAATTTAATTTTAATAGCTAACTTTTTATTTGTATAAGATAACTATTATTTTTAAAAAATTCGTTAATTCAAATATTCTTTCAGATTATATAAACCTTATTGTGCAAACTTGATTACAAATAAAAAATTGTTAAACAAGATTTCACTTTTTTTCTTTTTGCATCAGTATTGGTTATCATGTTCATGTAGATTTTACATTATATCAAACAAAAAATTGCCAAAATTAATTCTTCTTTTACTGCAGAGCTTAATAGAATTTATACTAAGATTAATAGTAAACTTATCACAGAAATCAAAAAAATTAATTCACAAGATACTGCCTGCATCACTAAGATACAGAAAATCTTTTTCAATGATCAATAATATAATCATAAGACTTAATAGTTTCGAAGAAGCATGCTATAATGAATTTGGTAGAATAAAATCTAAATTCAATACTTATATTAAGCTTTTGATCTAACATTATGCAGTTATCCAAAGATTTCAAATTGATTTTGATCAGCTGAGTATAGATAATTAATCTGAAACTTCAAACTGATAACATAAAAGTGAAAATTCTACTACCAGCTCTTTATCTGGAAATTCAAATCTATCATCCAATTCATTTCTTAAGAAAATAGAAATTATTTTAAGCAAGATTTAATTCAAGTAATGTAAAAGGATCCTATAGAATGTATATTTGAAATTGTAAGATGTGAAATTCATGAACTCATTAGAAAAAAATTGTAAAGAATACTATAAAAAACATCTTTTATGGCCTTAGCAATTTGAAGTATAATACAGTAATATTAATTATGAGATAGATAGATAATAAAAAATATATTAGTAATGTAAATAATGACTTAAATAATAATCTATAGTAATGGAGAAGGAACTGCCATAATATGAGTTAGGGCTTGACAGGCATTTATGATTTATTCCTTCTTGAAATATCCTGCTACTCTATTATTTTTTTACTTTCATTTTACTTAGCCGATCAGCCCTTTCTCATATATCATTTAATAAAGAAATATACTTCAAATTTTTTAAATGTGTGTACATATTTTATGTATATATATTCTCAAATATAAATTTACTTGAGCTTTATCTTTTTTAGTTAATATAAATATTAAGTTCATTTCCTGATTATTTATTAAAATTTATGCCTTTGACAAATAAAATAAAGATTATTTGTTTATATATATATAAATACTCTAAATAATCTATATTTTACTAAAAAAAAATGTCTTAATTAATTGAATTTATTAGAATTAACCTAGATATAACTTTCTATTAAGCAAGACTGAAAAGTAACAGTCTTATTTTCCAGATAGTATACAAACACATTACTCTCTAATAACTTATTTGGCTTCACTTTTATCATTTTTCAAAGCATACTGATATAAAGTATATCTTTAAAATTTAATAAAACTCTTATAATAATTTTAGCTGTCTTATGATTATCTTGATCTGGATTTATTCCTATTTTTTTAAGATTATCAAAGATTGCACTAAAGACTTATTGTTTAATAACTGCAGAAAAAGTATCATTAAGAAGCAGAGTTGTATAAATTCATTTGACACAAAAATAATGAAACTAATTCCTACCTTCAAATTTTTGTTCATATAGAAACTTGTCCATTACAGAATTTAGATTCATATATGTCTACCAACCAATTCATATAATTTTTTTGCTTCTTCTTCTTTGATCTTGCATTTCTCAATTAGTTATTTCATTAATTCTTTCTCGCTAAGGTCACTGATTTTCATCACTGATTTATTTACATGTAATTAGAAATTACAAGCTAAAGAATTACATATTCTTTAAGTAAAATTATTCTCAGAAGTACAAAAAAATAATGTTATATTTACATTTCATTTTTTAAGATACATTTTCTTCACTACTAACAAATACAACAATGTATTCTTAATGGTCAGCATTCATTTTAGCATTATCTTGAAGAATATTAAAAACTTTTAGTTTTACATTAACTAATTTATTAATATTATCATAAACTATACTTATATTTTTCTTTGTATATTACACTAGCATGTTTGAAAGTCTTTAAGGCTTTTTTTCTACTTAGGACACTTATCTTTATCTATAAAGAGAAATACTAGGATCAAAAGCTTTAGTTGTAAAAGATCAACTTAACATTAGTATCACCTAATTTTTTCTTCATAAGCTATGCTGTAAAAGAGATACATTTCTCAAATGCAAGGTTAAGAGATTCTTCAAATGCTATGCTAAACTTCTTTATATTTTCTATATTAGCAGGAATTTCAACATATATGATTTCCTGTCCTACTTCTCTTAATGCCTTTCTAGTTAATGTAGTTTTCCCAATACTGTGCTCTTTACAAATCACATAATAATATGATTGATTTCTACTCAGTTGAAAAATGTTTTTAAGACAATCTATAATTAGAGATCAGAGAACAAATTTATCATCTGAAATATTAATTTTAGGTTAAGTATCCTTTTCTATAGTTTTATTTAGAAGACGCTTATTATACCTATTCTGATATCCAGTATAAAGAAGATCCACTGATATCAAACCAATAATGCTAGCTACAACTAATTTCCTAATAATAATAATCTACAAATAGCAAAATATGTTGAAAACTTGAAATAAATAATACACAATAAACAACAAAAATTTCATACCAAAAGCTATTTTGCAATCCTCTTGAAGTGAAAGTAGAGGAAAAGTAGAGTTTGTATAAGATCTTGAATATGACTATTGAAATAGAACAGAGTTTAAATTTCTTATTGCAAATTTTTGTGGTTGAAAAAAGATGATTTGATGGATTATGAGATGAGATGGTAAAATGCTTCTATAAAAATAATAGGCTATTCTGAGCTGATTTGAAGTAATAGTTGAAAGAAGACTGATGAATAATCAAAAAAATTTGATTATGTGATAGAAAAAAAACTTTACACCTTATTATAATATATTACATAATATTACATTTTTTCATGCAAATCTCTAATATAAATTTTTAAAGCTTTACTAAGGTTAATATTGTTAATTTATTTCTGACATTGTATTCTATAAAATAATAGTCAAAAATAAATAACAGATAACAGTGAATTGCAAAAGCATTTAAAGTTTTGAGTTTATTCAATGAAACCCAATTCACGAAGATGCTCTGGAATAACTATATATGAATTCTCATAATATTAAATGTATCTTAGAGCAATGCAATTTTCTTCAAAGATTTCTTTTTTGATCTGATTATATATCAACTGCTTTTGAAATTCTTCTAATCATTGTAAAATACTTCATATTTGCTCATGCTGTTTACCTTGTATTTTAAAGAAATTTTAAGAAATCTGATTAGCGAATGCTGAAAGGTAAACTAAGAATGTTAGTTATGACTTTAAAATATAGATTTTCATGTTTATTTAAGCAATATAGGTATGGTTTGTGTCACAATAAATCATCAAACAAATTTGTTGATTTTACAAAAAAAATAAATAAAATTTTTTAATATAAAATTTAAAATATCTTAACATTGTTTGATAAATACTAACTAGTG